GCGCAAAACCACGTTCATATTCGCGCGATTTTTTGCGCAGCTCATCAGTGAACAACGGCTCTGTGTAGTTAATGCTGCTCAATGTGAAAGCACGCAGGTGATGGAGATTTACCGCTGATTAAAGAACCGGCTTTCTGACAAGATGCGCGTTAAATATCGCATGCGATTTATCGTGCAGCCCTAATCTCGGATGACCTGAGGGTGAGTAAATTTTCGGGAGAACTGTAGCTGAAGCTGTAATCCATTTGTCTGGTTTGATTGGCAGTTCTTGAATTAGGTTGAATGATTAATCAAACATGAATCACATCTGAAGTTTTATTTAATAAATATGAAGCTTTTCTATTGAAAAAAATCATAGTGGGCTTAATTGGAACATGTACTTTAGAAGCCACTCCAGACTTTTAATTAAATAAAGCAATTTAATTTTGTCACTTCCTGACAAAACATACCATGAGTGTTCACTTTAAAAGCCACTTTAGTGAAAGCCTGTTCAAATAACTATAAGAAAACATGTACAGATAAGATTCAGATGATCTTAATAGGGTCACTTCTAATGTTAATTAAATGACAAAAAGTGCCACAAAAAAAGCCTGATGGATTTCTCCTGTTCGCTCAACTACAAATCACACTGATCCAGATCCCAGTATCATCATATAAATCGAAAACATGATTTCTTTGTTTGAAAGTGCATGTGTCTGGAGCTGAGACCAAGTTTTGACACTTACGAATGATCTTATTTTAAACTGGAAGAGGAGCAAAATGATGGCAAATCTTTACGGTAACACGGGTCAAAGGTGAAAATTAAAGATCTCACCTTGTTGTCACTGATCTGTTTAGTGAGCGGCCCTCGGCTCAGCTGCAGCAGGTTATGCAGATGCATCTCGTGTTGTCCAATCAGAGCCTTCACCTGGTGCCTCTGCTCTTCCCATTGGTCGCTGTGGCCGATCATGCATTCCAGCTGCAGAAGCCGCGCCTCCACGCCGTGCTGTGTGCCGTCCCATTGGCTGCGGACCTTCTCCACTGACACACAGCAGGAAGAGAGGAATGAGTCTCACTATCTCACACAACAGATGCTCCACACGCTTCTTCATTAATACATGAGTATAAAACCGTCTGAGGTGTTATTCATCAGAACCACCAATTGAGCTCACTTCTTTTGCTTTATTTATTTTTATATAACAATAGCCAATTTGTCAAAGCTTTCTGTACTTCCTGACAAAAAAACAAAACAAAAAAACTATTACAAGGATAGGATTACAATTATGACTAAGATAATGATTAAAAATGATTAAGAATCACAAGAAAGACTAAGATTAAGACTAAAACAAAGATCAAAGATTAGAGCTAAGGCTAAGATTAAAACAAAGGCAAAGCGAAACTAACACCGAGACTCAGATTAAGAAAAGGCTAAAACTGAGATTAAAATCAAGAGTAACATTAAAACAAACACTAAGATTATGATTTAATATTGAACACTAAAATTACAATTAAAACAAGACTAAGATTATGATTTTAAAAACATCTGGGGCCGTATGTATAAAGCCGCTCAAAGTAAAAGTTTAGTCTTAAGTGTGTCAAAATTCTAAGAATGACGTAATTTTACTCTTATTCCTAGACTTAAGAATAAGAGTGATTCATAAAGGTTCCTAAGTGTTAAATTTAACTGATAAAGTAAAAAATGTAATAACCTCTTCCACTCAACAAGTCAATGCTCTAACAGCAGAAATGAAAGTAGTAATTAATTTTTTTTGGCTGGAAAATTGGAAAAATGCAGCAATGCACCGTTGATGACACAGTAAGCAGGTTCTTACATATTGTGGCACTAACCCCACCAAACACAACAGTGGCCAAAAGTGATGTTTTGATTTTTTTTTATGACCCCACGCTTCACTTAAACCGTTAAAATACAAAGGACAAAAAAAAAAGAACCAGTTAGAGGTCGAGGTCGGCCATTTTGTGTTGACATCATTGTAGTCCTTAGTTCACAACACTTAAGTGTCACCTCAGTCAACACTTAAGAATCAGTCTTAGACTTTACTGAAAGTTGCTTTAAGCGTCTTTATAAAAGTCTCCTACTCTTAGAAAAGTCCTACTTTTTTACTTGCATTTCTGAGAAGTTTTATACATACGGGCCCTGATTAACAATAACAAGACAGAAACTGAGATTAAGATAGACTAAGATTAAAAGTTAGACAAAGACTACGACCAATGCAAAGCCAAATGTACACTGAAATCGAGTTTAAGATAAAGGTTAAGAATAAAACTAAGATTAAAATTAAGACAAAGATTAAGACAGAATAAGATCATACATGATTGGGAATCACACAAGAGAAAGCCTGAGTTTATAATAAAGACTAAGATTAAGATAGAAACAACAATTAGGTCTAAGGCAAAAACTAAGACCAAGGCAAAGTAAAACTGACACTGAGACTGAAATTAAGATAAAGGTTAAAACTAAGATTAAGGCTAACATAAAATCATGACTTAATATATGATTTAATATTGAATACTAAGATTGAAATAAAGACAAAGATTAAGACAGACTAATATAATGATTTTAAAAATATGTCAATCACAAAACAAGGACTGAGATTAATATAAAGGCTAAGATTAAGACAGAGTAAGATCTATATCTGTCTTTCTATCTATCAATATCTAATATCTATAGACATTAGAATGATAGACAGACAGAGATAGATAGATAGATAGATAGATCAAAAGCAAGATTAAGATTAAGAAAACAAGATTAAGACAGGTTAAAGGCAGAGTAAGTGATTTCTGGTAGCCAATGTTGATATTTGAAATCACCAAAACAAACACGCCCCTACCCCAAAACGGTCTTGCCCCTAACAAGTTTGTTTTGCGATTCGGCCCGAATCAGTTTTCTAAAGCGTTTTTGAAAAATCACATACCCTGCCTTTAATACTGAAACCAAGATTCAGACTAAGGCGGAGATAAAGAAGATGATGATGAATATATGCTCACGTTTCTCTGAGATGGAGGTGCGCACGTCAAGGTTGGAGGTTTTGTTCTTGATGTTTTGAGCCAGAGTGATGATGTCTTCCAGCTGTGGATGTCTCTGCTCTAGATCACCTTTAGTCACCTACACACAACCACAACACAGGGCTTTAAACATCACCAGGGTTTAGCGGTCTGAATAATCATTCTGTGTAGACAGAAACACAGCCATAAATCACTGCTTTTATCTTCTATTTAAGGAAAGATCTACTAGCTATTTGCCAGCCTATCAAGCCAAACGTCTTCAAACTGAAGACAAACCCCCTCGCAGGTCTAATTCTGCTGTCTGACCTGCAGGCGGCCGATGGTGGTGTGGATCTCCTCTTTGTCTCCCACTGTGACGATGTTGGATTTGAGCATCTGGTGGATGAGGAGCAGCCAGTCCGCCAGCTCTGTGGCCGTCTGGTGCAGGTCGCTGGGGCCCACCAGCTCTGGACTGGGACGCCGCTCCTCGCTCATCAGACTGACCATGTGCACCGCAGACGGCACGCTCCCTGACACACACACAATCCACAGTAAACACTCGATTACATCTGGAAGAGCAGCGCAAGTGTCCAATTTACCTGTGTGTGCTGCACTCACCTGTGAACTGCTGCTGAGCCACTTGTTGTGTCCATGGGGACAGAGGCTGTTGTGGCGTCTCCTTCAGTCTGGCATCCAGAGCTTTCCAATCTGCAGCCAGCTGTTCGATTTTACTCTACACAAACACACATACATCCACTTCATTCTCATTCATCTCTGCACTTTACAAGCAAAAACACAACAAGAATGGAGCTAGTGCTGCATGACAATTTTTCTACTTCCAGTGTAGTTAAACAGTTCACTGTTGATTGGAAAGTGCACACTTTTTGAGCGTGTCGGAAGAGTATTGAGACAATCTACCACATCCTAAAACTGTATAGTGTTACGGTCTGTTCACACCAAGAAGAGTATCTGATGCAAATATTTGGTGCCGTAAATATTTCAATTTGAACACTAATGCAAACATCAGCATTGTCAATGCAACAGAGTTTGTTTCTTTTTTATGGATTGTTTTAATCTCTTTTCCATTGCACTGTGAAGAAAGCTGGCCAACCGGTAAGATTTGCGTTTTTGATCACATGCCTAGAACCACTGCTTTAAAATCAAACCGACGATCATCAGTGAATAACAGAAGTGAATCTGTACTCTTGCATTTGGTGTTGTTTGATGAACACCATTAAAAATGCAAATATCTCAAAAGTAATTACTGTTACAGCAAATAGTGTAAATTCTGTTTGACTTCACAACGTCTATTATGCATTGCATGAACAGAAAAATTGCATACGAAAACCACTTGTGCTGGTGTAAGCTAGGGTTATTAGTTAAACTAAAATGATCAAAAAACACTTGTAGTTGAAATAAATGTTAACTGACATGAATGAATTTAATTCAGCTAGTTTCCAAAGCAACATGTAAAACACCTAAAACTAAATAAAATAAAACTAATTCATATCACTAACTACATAATTAATAATTATTTACTAAAACAACCAAATAACTAATAATTTAAACTAAAATTAATAAAAACTACATAGACAAACTATATAGAAAAACTAATAATTAAAAAACTACTACAGCTAAAATTAAAGTAAAACGTATAAAAATAGAAAATATAATAAAGTCTAATTCAAAATAATAACTATATAAAACTATCAATGATATCAAAATAACTCTGGTGTGAACAGGGCTTTAGCATTAAGCTCAACTGATTTAGGGTACAATTCATTACTTTTCATACATTAAAAACTGCTTTGGCATCACACTATTAATGATAAAAGTAAGTGAATTGAAGCGCAGCACATACTCTAGTGTTTTTTGTGTTGTTGTTTTTTTTGCAGGGTGACACAAACCTTTTCCTGTGGTAAAAGCAGCTGTTTCCTCTGGAGCTCAATAGAGTAAGACAACAGATCCTCCAGCTCCCGCTTCTGCTCTCGCATGGACATTTCCAGAACCTACACAAACATATGTCCGTCAGATCTCAGTCAAACTCTGATGATCATTTGTTTTCATTGGGATGAACTAGACCAACACATAAAAGACTAAACAACTTACAGACAGAGCTGGGTACTAACTGCTTACATGCAATCTGGATTACATAATCAGATTCCAAATCTCCAAAAATTACATTTTATAACGCTCATAATCAGATTACAGTTACTTTTTTATAGATTACATGATTGCATTACCCACAGTATTATATTATATTATATTATATTATGGCAGTAAATCATTGATAATTTATTGATTCTCCCTAATTCTTCTTTTAAATGGATTCCCAAATGTTTGTGTCAGCCAAAAACCAATTTGACATGAAATATTTTCTTGAAATATCTCTGAGGAAGTTAATATTTCAATAATTTAACAACACATCCGGTCAGACTGGCATGCAGGTAAGCAAATTAAATATTTCCATTTTTAGTGTTTAATTAATGATTAGCTTTTTATCAACTCACAAACCCACTGCAGTTCTTACATTAAGCCCAGTTTGGGAAATTAATGTAATGTTTAATGCATTTTATGATGTTGATATTAAAGAAGAAAAAAAAAATATATATATTTTTTTGCTTTGCTTCTTTATTTCAACATGGTACATTCAATGGTCCGTTAAAAAAACCAAAAACAATAATAAGCCTGTGGTTTGGCATGGGTATACCGTTCCCCATAGCGACCCCTAGAGGACGCAATTTGAAGTTCCCTTGAAAGGGAACGTCTCAGGTTACGTATGTAACATTGGTTCCCTGAGTAGGGAACGAGACACTGCAACCTCTAGTTTCCTTGCCATGCTTCGGACGCAAGCTTCAGATGAAGAAGCGGATGACATGTTCTCCGGGTGCCTCTTTATACTGTGGTCGCACCGGTAGTGACGTCATAGGCTGTCGCCGTCCAACATGTTGTTGTTGTTGTTTTGAATGTATGCTTCAGACACGGGTCACGTTCAGGCGTTCCCCATAGCGACCCCTAGAGGACGCAGTTTGAAGTTCCCTTGAAAGGGAACGTCTCAGGTTATGTATGTAACCATGGTTCCCTGAGTAGGGAACGAGACACTGCGTCCTCTAGTTTCCTTGCCATGCTTCGGACGCAAGCTTCAGATGAAGAAGCGGATGACATGTTCTCCGGGTGCCTCTTTATACTGTGGTCACACCGGTAGTGACGTCATAGGCTGTCGCCGGCCAACATGTTGTTGTTGTTTTGAATGTATGCTTCAGACACTGGTCACGTTCAGGCGTTCCCCATAGCGACCCCTAGAGGATGCAGTGTCTCGTTCCCTACTCAGGGAACCCCCTTGAAAGGGAACGTCTCAGGTTACGTATGTAACCATGGTTCCCTGAGTAGGGAACGAGATACTGCGTCCTCTAGTTTCCTTGCCATGCTTCGGATGCAAGCTTCAGATGAAGAAGCAGATGACATGTTCTCCGGGTGCCTCTTTATACTGTGGTCGCACCGGTAGTGACGTCATAGGCTGTCGCCGGCCAACGTGTTGTTGTTGTTTTGAATGTATGCTTCAGACACGGGTCACGTTCAGGCGTTCCCCATAGCGACCCCTAGAGGACGCAGTTTGAAGTTCCCTTGAAAGGGAACGTCTCAGGTTACGTATGTAACCATGGTTCCCTGAGTAGGGAACGAGATACTGCGTCCTCTAGTTTCCTTGCCATGCTTCGGACGCAAGCTTCAGATGAAGAAGCGGATGACATGTTCTCCGGGTGCCTCTTTATACTGTGGTCACACCGGTAGTGACGTCATAGGCTGTCGCCGGCCAACATGTTGTTGTTGTTTTGAATGTATGCTTCAGACACTGGTCACGTTCAGGCGTTCCCCATAGCGACCCCTAGAGGATGCAGTGTCTCGTTCCCTACTCAGGGAACCATGGTTACATATGTAACCTAAAACGACACCTAAAAAAAAAGTTTAATTAATGATTAGCTTATTATCAACTCACAAACCCACTGCAGTTCTTATATTAAGCCCAGTTTGGGAAATTAATGTAATGTTTAATGCATTTTATGATGTTGATATTAAAGAAGAAAAAAAATGTTTTTTTATTTTTTGCTTTGCTTCTTTATTTCAACATGGTACATTCAATGGTATGTTAAAAAAACTAAAACAATAATAATCTAAAAAGTAGTCAGAATACATTGCCTAATACGAGTAACCTAGATTACGTTACTAACTACAGTTTTCATCATGTAATCTGAAATCAGTAATGGATTCTGCTCACAGACCCCCAGAAATGAATTTTTTGTAATTATATAATCAATCTCAGTGCATTTCAAAACATCACACTTAACCACAGTCACAGACACAAACAAAAACACACACACAGACACACAGACACAGACACAAACAAACACACACACAGACACACACAGTCACAGACACAAACAAAAACACACACACAGACACACACAGACGCACACACAGACACACACACACACCAGGAAACATGCTCATCTAAGTGGTGATATCCTCACATCACATGCATTTCTTCAATTAAACACAACAGCACTGTGTGTTTCGAATCGTTTATCTCATTCTCAAGCAAGTGTGGCATGTTTACACAAGAGATGTATTGATAATACTCGCCAGTAAATCTGTCAGACAGAGCGCCCTCAAGCACTCAGTATCAGCACCATAAATTAATTTTCCTGAGTGTACGAACACAAACGGCTGGTCGAGCTGATGTTACATTCATCAGAAGATCACATCTAAATGATTCACTCACAGAGATTGTCTGACAGATCACTGTGTGCAATAAAGCATGTATGAGCTAAAACCGCAGTATGTTCATGGTAACCTCCAGCGCTGAAATAACCAGTGTGTCAGTGTTAACTGCTAACGAAAAACCAAAATTAAAATGATTAAAAACTGATTTCATTAATTGAAATAAAGCTGAAATAAAACAGAAATAGAAATATTAGATAAAAATATTTTATTCCAGTTAAATTTAAGTTGAAGTACTAATATTCATAAAACTATTCATTGTAATACAAATTAAATCTAGGCTATATGGAAATATTCAAAAACGAATAAAAATAAAGTAACATTAAAATCAATACTGAAAATATAAAAATAAATACTAATTCAAAAATATCAATAAATACCATAATAGGCTGATTAACTAAAAACTGGTCTTCGCAAACTACTAAACCAGCAAGAACCTACTGTTTCCTATGAAACCAGCTAAACTAATAACCTTCTTCATTGGAAATACTGTTCTGACTGACTGACTTTACTGGTGATCAACTGTTAAACTGGTGCTCCAGTTAGTCCAGCATAATTCAGCCGGGATCAGTTTTTGGAAAAGCACTTCCTCATGTCAGCGGGTGTCCATGAAACTGGCCGAGTAACTGGGTCACATTTCTGTTTAACGGTGTGGAAAGCAGGCGGATTTCACTTCAACTTCCTGTGTGACTGACTTCTGACAGATGAAGTCCTGCTCACCTCGGAGAAGAACCTGCCTCTTAAATCATTAACTTTGAGTTTTAAAGTCAATCTCAAGAAAATATGTCTAGGTCACGTTTCAACCCAAAAACCAAAGGAAATACATGATCAGATATTTTGCATAAAGAAAATGAAACCTATTCAGGCCTGTTCTTGCGTCATGACATTATATTCATGACAATCATTCACAGTTTCCAGTAAATACTTCAAGTTACTGTGTTACTTTTTTTTTGTGTGGAATTATCATTATTCTCAAAAATGATTCCATTAGATTATCCTGTCCAGAGGGGAAAAAAGAAAGAAAAACATCATAAATAATAGATTTTTTTGTAGCGTTATTTTAGTATTATTTGAATACTATTTATTTAGTTTATTTACTTCCCGAGCTTATTCTTCAACATTAAAAAAAACATTTGATAACTGTGATGTAATCATCATTATACTTAAAAGCAATGCCTGAGCCAACTCTTTTTTAACTAATTAGAATTGATGGTATTATTCATCTTTGCTTTAAAAAAATGTCTATTAGAGTGTGTGATGCTTCTTTAAATCAGATGCACTCTGCACCAGAATTAATGAAGGTTTCAGTAGTGAGATATTGGTTTCTCTCACATCCTCATGCGTTTATAATATCCAGGGATTTGACACATTTCTCTATGGACCAATCATCAGCACATATTCCTAGACTCAGAGCCGTAGCCTCAGTAGATATTGAGGGGGGCATATCCTCTCTCCCTCCAACAAAATTCAGATTAGGCGCTGACTGTTATGTTTTTTTTTTCAAATTATTACATTTGCCGCCCCCAATCCTGAATGCATGGACACGTCCTTCCCTGGACTCCTCCATTAGCATGTTACGAATGGGCAAGATAACATTAGCAAATCTACCTCCGATAAGGAGAAAATGAGGAAATATATGCTGAAATACTAACTTTTCCTAACCCACTTCAACCAACGCTCACACACATCCAACCTTCCTCGCAACTAGAGACGTAATAGAGTTCAAAATTACAATCTCTCTAACCGTATTCATCATTGGTTTCATGCAATAACTACTATCATGTCCAACAAATTAAATACAAAAGTTTTTTCAGGTTCACTTTGTGATTGTGGGCCATAATGGGGAGATGCAGAAAGACTGCTCGTCTAGACAGGGAATTATGGGGAATTCCAGGCTCACCCTTTCCTCTGGCTGTACATGCGGTTGACTCTGTCCCACTCGGAGTTCAGCTGTGTCAGGGCATCAGATATCTGTGCCATCTCCTGTCTGGAAGCTTCCAGAATCACATCAGGCTGGCGCTCATTAATCACTTCAACCTGTTCACCCAACCGCCCCAAACTCTCCTTTATATTCTAGAAACAGAGACACAGAGAAGTCAATGCCAAACAGAACAACTGAAAACACCCATTGCTCTAGTCAGTTTAGCCTCTATAGCAGACTGCTGGTGAACAGGAAGTTATTATGGTCAACAGTGTTGCTTATACTTTATGACTGTAGCTTGGCAAGCTAGTTTGTGTAAGTAGTTTTCCCAACACTTGTACCAGCATACTGATATTTGGACCTCTTGAACCCTGTAATGAAGGAAACCACTGTGTCTAAGCAAATCACTGAAGTGTGTGTCTGACCCGGAGCGTGTCCTCCTGGCTGGAGAAATCCTCAAACAGACCTCCGCTGAGCTCTGAGGAGTTCAGGAGCAGCTCGTTGTCGGCCATGGCCAGCAGAACCTTATTAATGTCCAGCAGATAGTCAGACGGGGAGACAGATGCGCTCCTCTCATCCTGGGGAGAGAGGGATGACTCTGATCTCTGCCGAGGAGGAGAAGATGATTCGAGCACAACTGGCTGAGTTCTGATGGTATGAAGCTCCTGCAGAGAGACAGAGAGAGAGAATATAGTGAATGGAAGAAAGTAGCGTGTGATATGGTGCTTTCACACATTTAGCATTTGTTTACAATGCAATAGTAAACAAGATCTGGTGTGGGAACACCAGCAAATCAATTCGCTGTCAATAAGCCAATGTAACGCAGCTATAAAAACAAGGTGTTAAAAGTTGTAACGCGACCATAAACAGGCATAACACAGCCTCAAGCATTTCTGTAACATAGACATAACAGTCAAAACATAGCTGTAACCATATCTGTAAAATAGCCACAACACAACTGTAAACATCCATCGTTAATGTAGCACAGCTGTAACAAAGCTTTAACATATCCATTAACAATGCTGTAACACAGCCTTAACGAAACCAATAATCATAGCTGTAAAAATAGCCATAGCATAACTGTAAAGCCATAATAGCAAAAAACAATGCTGTAACAAAGTCGTAACAGCTGTAAATACTATTGTAACACAGCTGTAACGCAGCTGTAACCATAACTTCAACTTAGCCATAACATAAAACATATCCATAACACATCCAGCCTTATCAGCTTTAACACTGCTGTAACATAGCCATAACAGAGTCAAAACTGGTTCAACACAGCCGTAGCTGTAACTTAGCCTTAACACAATATTAAAATAGACAATTCCTGTTGTAACAGCTATAAAACACAACAAAGCCATAATACAGCTGTAAACAATGCTGTAACATAGCCTGAACACAGCTGTAAATGTAGCTGTAAAATACCCATAACATATTCATAACATTGCCATAACAGCCACAAACAAAGACGGAACAAGGCTGAAACACTGTTGTGTTTCACAGATGCAACGCAGGAACAAAGTAGTTTCGCTTTCACAACGAAAAACACAGCGTCCTAGCGGAAGCCCCGGCTTAGCGTGAGCTGAGGCCGGCTTGAGTGAGCAGAGGCGGCGGGGTTGAGAACGGCGCGGCCGGCGGATCCGACGAAGGAGCGGCAACCACATGTGACGACCCCGGGCTTCGTCCACGGTGAAAGCCGATCCGGCGATCCACAGCACTAAGTTGATGTATTTCCTCAGCAACCAGCACGGATCAGCTCTAGGCATGATGAAGCGGATATCGTCCTCTTTTGGAAGACCAAACAAAGTAGTTTCGCTTTCACAACGAAGCACACAGCGTCTTCAGGACATGGCTGCAGCGTCAACAATGCTACAGTGAGAATAAAAGTTACGCCTTCTTTCTTACGCCTTTTTTGAGACTTTAGTCTTTGCAACTTTACAGATCTTCTTTATGCACCAAGAGCTTGCAACACTCCAAAGAGAAAGGAAAACTTGAAATCGCATCATATGACCCCTTTAACACAGCCCTAAAAATAACTTCAGCTTACCCATAACACAGCTATAAACACAGCCATTATAATTCATGTAGCACATCCATAAACACAGCTGTAACAAAGCTGTAACCACTATAAACACTGTTGTAACAGTCGTAATGCAGTCGTAAAATGACTTTAACACGCCTGTAAATGTAGCTGTAAAATAGCCCTAATACAACCGCAAACATAGCCACAATCATTGTTTTAACAGCTGTAAACATAGCCAAAACAAAGCCGTAACACAGCCATAAAGAATGCTGTAAGAAAGGCTTAGCTGTAAAGGCTGTTGTAACAGTGTCACAGTCAAAACACATATTTTAACACAGCCATAAATGTAGCTGTAAAACGGCCATAACAGAGCTGTAAAAATAGACATAATCATTGATGTAACAGCTATAAACACAGCTGTAACAAAGCCGCCATACAGTTGTAAACAATGTTCTAACGCAGCCTGAACACAGTCAAAACAAAGCTGAAACACTGTTGTAACAGACACAATGCAGGTAAAACATTGCTTTAACACAGCTGTAAAAACATAGCTTTAACACAGCCATAACATAGTTATAATCACGACTGCAGCATAGCTATAATACCCATAATCACAGCTGTAACACTACCATAATACCATTAAAAAAAAAGCTGTAACAGCTGTAAAGTATCCTTCATTTTGAACATGCACAACGCTGTTCTGATGCTATAAGACCAAATGCAAGGTTCTGACATCAGGTTTTCTACTTACAGTGTAGACATACGCAGCATAGCTATAATACCCATAATCACAGCTGTAACACTACCATAATACCATTAAAAAAAAAGCTGTAACAGCTGTAAAGTATCCATCATTTTGAACATGCACAACGCTGTTCTGATGCTATAAGACCAAATGCAAGGTTCTGACATCAGGTTTTCTACTTACAGTGTAGACATACATCACATTATAAGCAACTGCACATGTAACACTGTGTACATAAACACTGTGGACATTCAACTCCAACTAAATTGCAGCCCTCCAGCTTTTCAAATAGTAGCAGCCTAATATTTCTGAAAGAACATTTGGGTTTTAGAATTTAAAGAGAGTTTTGTATGTATAATTAATCACGACTGCAGCATAGCTATAATACCCATAATCACAGCTGTAACACTACCATAATACCATTAAAAAAAAAGCTGTAACAGCTGTAAAGTATCCTTCATTTTGAACATGCACAACGCTGTTCTGATGCTATAAGACCAAATGCAAGGTTCTGACATCAGGTTTTCTACTTACAGTGTAGACATACATCACATTATAAGCAACAGCACATGTAAACACTGTGTACATAAACACTGTGGACATTCTACTCCAACTAAATTGCAGCCCTCCAGCTTTTCAAATAGTAGCAGCCTAATATTTCTGAAAGAACATTTGGGTTTTAGAATTTAAAGAGAGTTTTGGTGATATGTATAATAAACAGTAATCTGTCGCCAGGAAAGTTAATACCGCAATTTAACGGGTTTCATGTGTGAAAGTGGCTTGACATTCAGAGCCAGCGTTACGTGGCTGACATGTTAGAGTGCATGAAATGACCTTGTAGCCTGTCTGGAGCAGCAGCAGTCTCCTGCGGATGTCCTCTCTTCTGTCCTCGTCAGGAACAGACCGCAGCACCTCCTCTCCTCTCCTCAGCACCTCCTCAACATGAGCTTTCTCCTCATCCAACTAAAACACAAACACACTAATTCAGGACAAACACATGACGGTTTTATATGGCTGGGTATGTAGACATCTGGTGTTATAGGTGCAACACCTCATAGTGTATGTTTAAAGGAATAGTTTGACCAAAAATGAACATTTGCTGAAAATTTAATCACCCTCAGGCCATCCAAAATTAGTTTGTTTCTTTATGGGAACAGATTTGGAGAAATGTAGCATTGCATCACTTGCTCACCAATGGATGCTCTGCAGTTAATGGGTGCCATCAGAATGAGAGTCCAAACAGCTGATAAAAACATCTCAATAATCCACACCACTCCAGTCCGTCAATTAACATCTTGTGAAGTGAAAAACTGTGTGTTAATAAGAAACAAATCCACCATTAAGACATTTTTAACTTTAACTTCTGGCCGAAATACAAGTCCATAATCCATAATAACACTTCCTCCAGTGAAAAGTCCATCCCCTGTTGTCTTTACATCAAAATCCAACACATATTTGTTCAGATCTGTTTTGGACTGTTTTCATTCATAAAAAACGGTGCTTGATCTGTGCAGATTTCTCTCCTGATTCAGACGAGATGACTTTTTTATTGGAGGACGTGTTATTAAGAATGGAGGACTTATATTTTAGCCAAAAGCAATGGTTTGAAGTTAAAAACGTCTTGATGGATTTGTTTCTTACAAATACACAGCTTTTGGCTTCTCAAGATGTTAACTGATGGACTGGAGTGGTGTGGATTACTTGTGGATTATTGTGATGTTTTTATCAGCTGTTTGGACTCTCATTCTGACGGCACCCATTCACTACAGAGGATCAACTGCTGAGACACTGATGCAATGCTACATTTCTCCAAATCTGATGAAGAAACAAACTCATCTACATCTTAGCTGGCCTGAGGGAGAGTAAATATTCAGGAAAATTTCATTTTTGGGTGAACTATTCCTTTAAAATACAGATATGTGAGTGGAGCTACAAAAAGTTATGTCATCTCACTTTGTTACAGGTCAAATCAGGTGTGTGCATATGATGTGTTAGTTGATGCTAATTAGTTGATGTGTGTACCCTCTCATCATCAGGTGTGTGTGTTTTCTCCTGTTGCTCCAGTGCTCCGATAGTAGCGTGTAGGTCTGATTCGAACAGCTGAAGCTGTGAGGAGGAGAGGAGAGGAGCAGACCTCCCGTCTGCCACCTCCTGCTGCGGCCGCACTGCCTCCTGTCTGCCCTCCAGACCAGCAGACACCTGAACACACAACACACACACACGCTTAGCACTGGCTAATGAGTGTCTGTCCAGCGCCGCGGCTGAAAAACAAGCTCCGCTCAGGCCTCTGCTGAGCCGCTGGAGTCGTACCTGAGCAGAGCTGATGTGCTGCGCCACCTTGTGGAAGCTGCGGTTGAGATCGGCCAGTTTGGGCTCCACCAGCTCTCTGCACACAGGCCCCCTGCTGGTCATCAAGATTACTGCCTGATCACGAGCGCGGTCCACACGCACACTCATTCCCTCCAACTCACACAGCACAGCCTGTCAGACACACACAGAGCAGATTCCATACATTAATGCGTGTAAATGAAATCAGGTTTCACTAGACTAGAAAAAAAATGTTTGTTTTTATTATCTTTCATCAAAATGTAATTACTTTCTCTGCCTCTGAACCATTTTCTTAGCTGCCGACATAATCTTAGCCATGTGGCAGAGAAAAAATATATTAACCAACAATACTGTAGCCTAACATTTATGATCCAACCAAATCCTGATGGATCAAATTACATTATTTATTGTTGAATATCCACTTTCACTGAAAAGACACAAATGACATAAATAACCAAGTCTCTCTCTCTCTGTGTGTGTGTGTGTGTGTGTGTGTGTGTTTTCACCATCATCATTTTCTCTTTTTCAGCTGCAGGCATCTTCTCCATCTCATCCAGTCGTATCTCCGTCTGATAGAGCCATGTGCTGATATGAGCCAAATTCTCATCAAACATCTCCACTTCACGCCTGTGATTCTACAACACACACACAGCATGCATGATATAGCATCTCTACACAACATACATGCGATATATAACAGGTAAAAAGTAGGGCTGTCAACAGATTAAAAACATTTTTAATATTATCATTGTTTTGAAGTTAAATGTAATTAATATGCATATTTTTTCATCTCTAAAACTTGTATGTATCTAGTATTGCTGTATTGCATTCAATACCTCTTTCAAGAATTGTAAAAAAAAAAGTTTTTTTTTCTTTATTTATTCTAAAAATGCAGAAAGTGTTCTTTTAAGGTCCAGGTGTGGGTTAGTTTATAGTATTTATAATTATTATTACAATTAGTTGAATATAAAACAAAAGTCTATGAAATGTCCCCATTTAGTAAATGTATTGTAAATGTATGTGTTTGTGATTGTGTGTGTGTGTTTGAGTGTGAGTGTGAGTGTGTGAGAGAGTGTGTGTGTGTGTGTGTGTGTGTGTGTGGTGTGAGTGTGAGTGTGTGTGAGAGTGTGTGTGTGTGTGTGTGTGTGTGTGTGTGAGTGAGAGAGAGAGAGAGAGAGAGAGAGAGTGTGTGTGTGTGTGTGAGTGTGTGAGTGAGTGTGAGTGTGAGTGTGAGTGTGTGTGTGTGCTGCTATTCTTCTAATCAGTCTTGACAAATCACACAGAACTGAATGAAGCAGTTGGGATGATGTGAACCTAATGAGTTAATTGCGTCATGTAACTTTAAGCAGTCACTCACCAGAACAGCACTGAGCCAGTCCTCTATCAGCGTGTGCATGCGCTCCCAGTCCTCATTGAGCTCAAACAGCTGATCCTCCAGCTGAGCCTCGCTGCCCTCCACTAAGGCCTGCAGGGCGGCGCTGTTCTCCATCACCACAGACAGATCGCTCTTCTTGAGCTCAGACTCCTTCAACAAGCCCTACAGACACACACTCATTTCACACACACACTCTGTGTAAAGACTGCATGAGTGAGGGACTGTCAGACACACTCACGTTGGCCCATGTGATCTCCGTCTCGATATCAGCAGGCATGTCTCCTGTGCTGAGCTTCTCTTTAAGTGGAGTCTCAGTGTGGCTCATCCAGGCCTGCAGGGCGGCGCTGTCCTTCTGCAGCCGCTGAGACAGAGACAAAGCCTTCTCCAAATCCTGTTTCCCCTCAGTCACCTGACACAGACAACAGGTATTTTATGGCAAATTACACTAAAGTCAACATGAAGTAGCTTTCGCAACTCATTTTATTTTTGTAATGCGATGTATTTCAGAGTGAAAAATTTAGGACGAGGCTTGATTTTGTCCACTGGAAACTGCTTTCATTGCCGTTTTAGAAATGTGTGTGTAAAATGTGCACGTACCTGAGCTCCCAGCTCATTGTAGAGTAATTTGAGGGCGGTGAGTTGTTCATCCATTCCTTTAGGATTTTCTGTCTGCTGTTTTTGTACGATCTGTCTTCCTGTTTTAATCACCGTCTCCACCTCCAGTTTCACCTCGCTCAAGATCTTATACAGTTTCTGGATTTATAAAAACAACACGCGTACATAAAACACAAGCAGTGTGAGGTGTGTGTTTTTCAGTGTTGTTACTGTAAAACCAACTATTAAAATAAAATAAAATAAAATAAAATAAAATAAATGTTGCCCTGGAAACTATCTGAAACAAATAACAAAAACTGAAATCGCGTACATAAAACACAAGCAGTGTGAGGTGTGTGTTTTTCAGTGTTGTTACTGTAAAACCAACTATTAAAATAAAATAAAATAAAATAAAATAAATGTTGCCCTGGAAACTATCTGAAACTATATAGAAAAAATAAAGCTATATAGAAATATAAAAAAGACAAAAAATACCTAACTGAAACTATACAAATAAAAAGCCAATTCAAAATATGAATGTGTACTATAATAGTATAGAATTAATACTTAAATGACAGTGGTGTGTTTTCTCACCATGCATCCGTTCAGGTGGGTCTGGATCTCCTCTGGTTGTGTGTCTTTCAGGTCCAGGACGTGAAGTTCAGCTTTAGCGTTTTCCAGAATCCTCTTGCAGTCCAGCATTCGCTGCTCAAAGTTGGCTGGTTTCTGGAACAGCTGGAATTTTGTACTAATCTCACGGAGTTTCCGCTAAACAGAACAGAAATACACAAGATAAACTTTAAAGGGTTAGTTCACCCAAAAATGAAAATTCTGTCATTAATTACTCACCCTCGTGTCGTTCCAAACCCGTAAGACCTTTGTTCATCTTCGGAACACATATTAAGATATTTTTTGATGAAATCTGAGGGCTCTCTGACCCTCCCATAGACAGCAAGGTAACTACCACGTTCAAGGTCCAGAAAAGTACCAAGATGATCGACAAAGTAGTCCGTGTGACATCAGTGGTTCAACTGTAAAGTTACGAAGCTACGAGAATACTTTTTTGCGCAAAGAAAACAAAAATAATGACTTTATTCCACATTTTCGTCTCTACTGCGTCTACGCTCACGTCATGTTACTGTCGTGAACGCGTGTCCACAAGTGACGCAGTAGAACCACACAGAACGTGGTAGTTACCTTGCTGTCTATGGGAGGGTCAGAGAGCCCTCAGATTTCATCAAAAATATCTTAAATTGTGTTCCGAAGATGAACGAAGGTCTTACGGGTTTGCAACAACACGAGGGTGAGTAATTAATGACAGAATTTTCATTTTTGGGTGAACTAACCCTTTAAGGCTGGAATACACTACATCACTATTAAAATCTGAACAGATTTAAAAACACTAGGCATCATTCCCTTGCCAATTTTGTTAAAGGTCACAGAGGAAAAAACTGGACATCATACACTGAACGACTGAAGATCACACATTACTAGACTCTGATGATCACAGATTGCCAAACACCACAAACTCACACAGAAACAGGCGCCTTGTTGATGCATATCAAAAGAAAGCATTACGTGTTCTACAACCGGCTCAAAATATCAAGCATGTTTAATATCCTCTAATCATATTCTGAAGTGAAGCGAAAAATAAATCGGGGCAAAAGTCATGTAGTGTATTCCAGTTTTTAGGTAAACATATTTGTTTTTGTTTTTTTTACAAAGTGGGCATTTGTTCCAACCTAGAAGCATGCAAATAAGAATGTTAAAGGTTGCATAAACAAATGTGCAGACCACAGTTATTAGTACTAACGAAAACTATAAAAACTAAAACTGAACCTGAAATAAAATAAATAGTAATATAAATAATAAACATAAATAGTAATATAAAAAACAAGACAAAAACCTAATAAAACACCAAAAGCACATACAAAAATTGAACTAAAAAAACGAATTGAAAATTAATAAAAACTATAAAATAGTATATAAATAATACTAAAATAACACTTGCACAGAATGAAATCTCAAAACCTGAATATCCAAGATTAATAACTAAACCAGGGTGATGTACGAAAAAATATTCTAGCGATTAGCATTTCCGCTTCGGTCCTGCGGGGACAGTAGTGTGCCTCACCTGTAACTGGTCCAGTAGGGTTCCTCCTCGCACTGGTTTGCCCTCTGGGACAGTTGGAGGCACGTTACCTACATTCCTCCTCCTCAGATCCTCCAGTGTGGCCTCATGGGCCGCGATCTCGGCCTGAATGGCCTGCATTCAGAGCATTTTGAAAGTTAAAGGCCAAAGAGTAAAAGAATAAGCTCGAAGAAGTTTAAAAACAAAGAAGCATTACGATATATCTGTCACTGGTTATTGAAAATCTTGAGCATCTATGAATATCTACACCAGTGGTGTAGTGCAGTGCACTTCTTTATCAGTCGTATACCCACTAATAAATCCCCTCTGATGCGCTTTATTCAGTCCTGCTTTAGCCAAAATCATGACGGTCCAGCACATGAGTAGCTAATCCAATCGCATGTGAATAAATGCAAATATTCCCTAAAAAAAACACCCAGTAAAAACAGTGTGATGCGGTCAGGACCGAGGCGCCGGCGTCCCTTGAAATATGATTGTCACAGTCAGAGAAGATGCTGACAGTGACAGAAATGCTGCTTCTTCTTGTGGTAACTGCAGTGAATGAGGAGTTTGTGTGTTTATACCTGAGCTTCCTGAGGCAGCTGGAAGGCGTCGATGCGGTCGGTGAGGTACGAGGTGAGCGTCTGGTCCAGCTGCGTGAGGGACGTCTGTAGTGTGTGTAACGCCATCTCGTTCTCTCTCAGAGTCCCCAACTTCTGCTCCAGAGACATCTGACGTGCAGCAGCCTACAACACACACATGAATGCAATACTGTACATATGATGTGAATCTGAATCAGTTCTGGGGAATCATTCGATCTGTTCAAAACGAACACACCAGCTGAGTCAGTTCTTTGTAGCGCGAGTTGAAGCTCTCCAGTCTCTCGCTGATGAGTTCATCCAGAATGCCTCCGTCTATGAGAGTCTGGGCCAGCTCTCGGATCTGAGTCCTGTTATCACCCGGATGACGCACAACCGGCTCCAGAGACTGAAAGAGACACGCGAATCCTGTTTACACCATGAGTATTAACAACAACTCGGGATCCAAAACGTGATCCGATTACTCGCACCACAAACAGACGTAAACAAAAAATGTATGTGGTCACATCATATTTGTAACACTTAAGGTGTGGTCACATTAGCAATATTTTATGGGTAAAAAAGACCCATTGTCAATAGTGTAGCAATGTATGAATCACTTTCAAACCAAGCAGCTTTCTGTTGGTTCATTTATCTGAGCAACTTGAACTCGTGAAATCTGCATGGGGAAATCTTTCACCCTCACTTGAAATTCCCAAGGATGTGAATATATATTGAAATTACTGGATTTTGGCTGCGAAATTGGACTGAACAAGATAAGCCACGCTTTTGGCATGAAAGCCGTTACCTCCAGAGCCTCGCTGATAGACTCTGTGTTTTCTGGGACGTTCTCAGTGGCTTGAACTTTCTCCTCCAGTGTCTTCAACCAGCCAGACTCCACGTCCAAATACTGCAGAAGCTCGATCCAGCAGGACCACACCTCCTGAACATCAGTACAACTACATCAGACCTCAGCTAAACATCTAAACAGGAACCAATCAAACCACATCTGGAGCAGGGCTGTCCAATAGCAAAGCATCCTCTGTGTGTGTGTGTGTGAGTGAGTGAGTGAGTGTGTGTGTTTGAGTGCGTGTGTGTGTGAGAGTGCGTGTGTGTGTGAGAGTGTGTGAGTG